GAGGGAGGGAGGGAGGGAGGGAGGGAGGGAGCAAGATCAGCTGCTCCTCGCATGTCTGGAGCCCGGCTCAGGGAATGCGGGTGGGTCCTTGATGGTTAGTGGTTGTAATGGGAGCGGTGGGGTTAACACAGCCGAGTCTCTACCGCTCTCTCACATTTTCCATACGAAGTTAAACGCCAGTAATGACAGGAAAGGCAAAAGGAAAGCCCTGGAGCCAGACGTTGAGAAAGAGATCGGAAACTTTCCCTATCCCCCCCCCCTCCTCCCAGGCAGGTTTCCCCCCCCCCCCCCCAATTTTTAAGAAGAAGAACTGAAAGTTGAAAAGGAACGAGCTTCTCTCCCCGCCCCCAGCTCAACTGAAACTTTCTGGACAATCGGCAACTTTCGCCCGAACTGAAGGTTGGTGGTATCTTTCTTATCTCAGCTGACAACTGTCACCACCCTGAGCGCCGCAGTCCCCAAAAGAGCTGGCAGACAAGTCCGTTGAGTACTTAGCGGAAAGGAGAGGGGGAAAAGCGACGAACGCTCCTTGAGCTGAAGGAAGACCCGCTTCTCTTGTTCCGGGAGCATCCTGAACTTTTGCTTTCCTGCTACTGCAGAAAGCGGGTCTGGACCGACAGGACCGAGGGAAAGGGACATGAAGGGAAAATACAGATCTAGCCTACGCCAAAGATTACGGCTCGATTGACAGCCTCCCAGGAAAGGCAAAGGCTCAAGCCCTGAGGGGCTTTGGTTCAATCTTCGGGTTAAAAACCTGCCCCCTTCCTAATAATCTAAACCCTACGGAGCCGTATGCTAAGGAAAGCTCCTGATCTGGTACTGCCACGGTTACGTTTGTTTCCGAATAATGTGAGATGGGTACGTTGCTCCCTGAAGATGAAAATGTCCACCCCATTTCTAACCCCAAGGTCTTGATTTGAACTGAGGGAACTTCCGAAAGAGAAAAGCTGTACCAAAAAGGGTTTTAAGGAGAAACTGCGAAAGCAGCTTTTCTGGAATCTTTTCCCGTTGCCAAGATGCTGTTCACTAAACGCTTCCCGTCCACCCCCTCTTCCCAATTTTGCCCTTCTTTCAGCTTCTTCCTCCCCCGCCTCCCAGCTCGAATCAAGGGGTCTGCGCGCCTTTCAGGGCAGCCTTTTCCTACAGGGGGGAATCCAGGAGCTTTAAAGCTGCCTACGTCTGTCATGTGTGGATATGTCTGGTGGTGGGGGGTACAAGCAGGCTTTCGGCTGTGTTTGATTCCTAATCAGAATGATGGACAGCAGGAACAGAACAATACAAACTAATGGCTGTTCTGCTGATCACTTTACCCCTTGATTAAAGACACCCAATTACTGCGCAGAACAGTGTCGTAATTATGTTCCTTAATCACATCCAGGAGGTCTAATTGCCTTAACGATGTGTTTCATTAAATGAATTTAGGTATTATAGTCGACAGTTTTCATACACAGTTGTTTTCAAATTAACATAATATTAGACATCGTCATGGAAATTGTTTTAATAATCATAATCAGACGCACCCAGGCTTTGTCTGGTAAATATTGAGAGACGGTTTCTCCTGGCGCCTAAGGGTGAGTTGCTCACCCTTGTCTGGCTATCTTCACTTCACTGTACAGTTATTGTTCCTGAAAAGTTACAGGTTCTAATTAATTAATCCTTTTCTTAATGAGAAGTGGAGCAGAAAATCTTTATCCGGTGTTCCTCTTCTCCCTCAATCCCTAGAAGCATTTGAGGGCATTTGCGAGGAAAAAGCTGAGGGAGGTACAAATGCCGAGGTAGAAACTGGCGTGGCGATGGCGGCGGGTAGACGAGCCCGCTCCCCCAGAACATCCCAGAGGCCGAAGGCGCGTGAGCACGTGAGGGTCGTTAGCCCTCCTGCTCGAATGGGGAAAGGTGGATCTGACCGGATCCTGGGATTCGATAGGTCACGGAGAGCCACTGCCTGCGGCACTTTCTAAAGTTGCTAGGTGTAAGTCCACCTTTGCGTGGGAGTCCGGATCTTTTCCGCAAGAAGCCGGAGGACGATCTGGGTATCATGAGGACAAAACGGAGGTTTCTCTCCTGCAACCCGTGTTAGAGCACAGCGTTTCCTCTTCCTGGAAGTAAGGGTGAAGGCTCGCCTACGGGTGTGCTGACCAGCAGCTTTTCCTCGCCTTCTGAGCACCGGGCACAGAGTAATGCTAGCTTGGCGCTTTGCTCTTCTAAACGAGCCTGTTGCCTTTACTGTGTGTCTGAACAAAGCAAACAGGCGAAGAGTTGTGGGAATGCTTGTCTTTCTTCTGCTCCTCTTACAAATAAAAGTGGGATGAAGATTTGTTCAAAATATTTTAATAAAAACTATTTTTCTGGCATAAATATATATATATATATATATATAAATAACCGACCATACATCACTATCTTCCTCTTACTGACCTATTTTCATATAGATATCTCTTTACACGTCCATGACCAGCCAGCGAGCTTTCGCAGCATTCGTTTTGCCTATCCAAAGCTGACAGACCAAATTTGGATTATCAGGAAGTAGCTAGAAATACCAAGTCTCATAGATTTTCAGGGGTGGAGCAGGGAAGATAAAGGTTTTCAGGGATTATACTTATAGAGAGCAAGATCTATGAACCAGTTCTGCCAAGTACAATTCAAATCCCACTGTTTGTCCTATTCACAAGCTATGTAAATGTAAACACAGATTTAGGCCCAGATCTAAATTAAACCTTTCATCCAGTTTAATTCATTGGATTTACTTCTACAGTTAGAAACAAGATTGCTTAAATAAAACACTAGTTACTGATCCACAACCTGTTTGGCTGAAGCAGATTAAAAGCTATATCTCATCTTACAATGCCAAGCATGCTTAACCAGGAAAAAAAAATTATACTGGAATCAGTGGGGTACCTGCAAATAAATGTGGTTAGGATTAAAAGGAACATTGGATTTCATTGAACTGGGTCAATCAGTTTAAAATCCAAGTACTTTGGCTGAAATTGATTTGAACTGTATGAGAAAACAAATCTATAGTATTAAATATAGTTCTGAGGTAAACATACACTCATTTACTTCTCCAATTTCTATAATTTTATATGGAAAATATATTTCTACAAACACTGAAGTGACTACCTTCACCTAAAATAACTTCTACTTTTTAAAAAAAAACTGGCTTTATTCTGTGAAAAATCAAACTGCCACATGGAAAATTTTTCTTTGGCATATTCTTGACAAGAACTATTGCCTGATGCCTTATGATCATAGTAAATAACTAAGACAGAATTTTTTTTCATGTTGCAAAAAGTTTGTTTAGTCACCACAGTCCAGTTCATTCAGCAATTAAGAAAACACTTCTCCCCTCATTTTTGGACTGAAGCAATTTATTAAAGCTTAATTTATAAATACAGGGATGATGCAACTTAAAATCCAGATGACCTTTCATAAACCTCAGCAGTTTGGATACATCAAGATTTCTGGTTCACACATCCTTGGCAAATCAAACATTTTAAACACTTGGCACAAAGTTTAAGTTAATGAGATTTTTAAGAAGCATTTAAAAAAATAAAAAACATACATAACCTTTAACACAGGATGAATATTGTCATGAAAAGACCACTGAAATAAATATGTCTTCTGGTACACATAGCATTGCAAAGTGAAAAGAAACAAGGTGCACATCTTTAAAAATAATAATAAACCTGCAATACTTCAGCCATGTGAACAGTTTTCACCTCTTCTTAAGTAAACACTCTCCGCCAAAACTTTGCTCATTTTCACAGGCTCAGATGTTCAGAAATAAAAATACAAGGAATTTCAGAGCAATTTTTGCACATATCTAATTTCAGGAAGTCTACATTTCAAGTTTGCATGTTCTCTGGCTCAGAAGCAATAAAATAAAATAACATTTTAAAAAACCCTTTTTAAGTGCCCTTCTTGATTTGTCTGAGTTTACAATCCAGCTTGCTTCCTGCCACCTGTATCCCTTGCTGAAGCCCAACCAAGCATTCTCCCAAACCTTGGTTGCCTATGAGCAAAAGTTCCCCAAAGTTGGAAGTCTTAAAGAAACGAGTGGCGTACAGAGGATTTTCTCCCAATCTGCGAGTTCTCCGTGATCACACTCACCCTCCCCCCAAAATACACCTTCTCGAAAAAAATTGCGATTGCGTGTGTTTAAACTTCGCTGAGGTCTCGGTTGCACTTAACTCGCCACATCAACCCCAGGACCATCCCCCTAAAGGCGGCTGCAGCAAAGTCCTGCCAAGGAAGTAATGAAGGACCAAGGGATCGGACTGAAGTTCTTGTCTCTTTTAAGGCTTCTCCGTGCACTGTTTGCAGAGACTGGACGAGACGCTATTGAAAATGGCACATTTCTCCGGGCAAGAGGTGGCGGGCGGCAGGCCGGCACTGAAAGGGTAGCCTGCCGCCGCCTGCTCATAGGCCCCGAGAGCC